GAAGCGCATGAATATGTGTGTATACAGAAATTCTTGGAATTCGCGCTTGCTGCCGCAGATACGAGGAAAGCCAAAACACGTTTTCTTAAACTACTTCTGTGTTTCTTAACCGATCTTGATGAAATTTTGTACAGTATCTTCATCTTATTGGGCTATAGAATATTTATGCATTCTCAATTGCATTTAAATTGTGGCTTATATTGGTGGGCAGCAATAATTGGTTTATTTACTTGGATGGACAGACAGACGGGCGTGGCTAGATCGACTTGGCTATTGATGATTATCAAGAATATATATACTTTATGGGGTCGGAGATGCTTTCTTCTGCCTGTTAAATACATTTGCACAAATACCCATTTACCCATTTTTAATGAGGTATAAAACTTGTTCAAAGCTTCGGCCACACTGAAAACTACAGAGAATTTTACAATAAATGGCGCTTTACAGGTGACTGGGAACACTTTAAAAGTATACTATAAAGTTCCATAATATAATAATATTATAATTATTTTTTTAATAATATTATAATTATTAAAAAAAGTAGGTATATATCCAAAACATCTGATAATTTCTGAAGCAATATGCTAAATGCATATTGATAGCTTGGGGTTTTCGGGAATAAGAAGCAGATTTCTCATGTTTATGTTTCCTCGTGAGTATCTTAGAAGTAGTTGACACAAAATTGTCGCAGCGACAATTTGAGAGGCACCTAAACGTGTTTATGTGGCACGGCTTACAAGGGCTTACAAAATGCAAGATGGCACAAATGCGACGCTAATCAGCAGACACCACGCACCGCTCGTCCCTTCCCCTCTCCGATAGCCCAGATACGCGCGCACTAAACCACCAAAGTAGAGAGTTTGTCGCTGTGCCATAAAATATGCAGCGAAAAACATACAAAAATGCGGCTAACAAGCGGAAAGGCGGTTTGGGGGTGGCGGTTGGCGGCTGCATGTTAAATAATTTGAAAACACGGCATTTGCGTAATGAAGCATGCGGAAAGCGCAAGACGAAGCTGCTGAGAGCAAGTGAAAAGCGCTCATAAATGCCAGAAGTTATGCAAGTCCTTAACTTTTATGAGCAGTTGGAGGAGGGTTGTGCGGGTTTGCGGGAATGTGTGTGTGTGTGTGTAGGAAATAGACTACAGGTGCAAGTGGCGTATCACACATTTTTGTCATGCGAACAGAGTGCAGCGAGTGTGTACCACTGTCTCTCAGTGGATGCGGTTCAGCTGACACAAATGTGCGAATTCTCTCACCAACTTTTTGCAACATGGCAAAAGCAAAAGTAAAAAAGAAGCGACGTCACTTGCGGCGTCTGGGCCAAAGACTGGCATTCGCATTCAGTGCGTAATCTTCACCTTTTCACAGCTTTGCCATGCACTTTTATTGCATGCTTACAAGCGCCCCAGCGCCCCGACACTTGCCGCTTGTATCGACAAAAGTTGCGCCTTGAATTTGCCACTTTACGCCACGTAGCTGCCACCAAATCCAAAAACCCAGCCAAGTCAGCTGCCGCCGCACTATGGGCTAGGTTCTGAAGTTCTATGGCACGATTAAAGCTAAACACAAAGATGAACAGTTGGAGCACACAAAAGAATGTTAGCAAACATGATTGGAGTTACAGAAAGTAAATTAACATTTCTGGTACATAACAGAAAGTTATCTAACATTTTTGATATTTGGAAGAAATTCTAAACAGAAAAATGACTAAAATTCCTGTTGCATAACGGTAAGTTATAATATTTAGCATATTTGATGCTTAACATAAGTTCATGTTAGTATGTTTGCTAACAATTTTTGTAATATGTATATAATACAATTGACTTTAAGCTGTGAGCTCTCTAGTCAAATGTATATTCCAGTAAAAAGTAAAGCTCTCGCAAAAATGAGACATAAACTGTAAATGTAGCCCATGGTAGCTTGCAGCTGCATCCCGCTAAGTAGTTGTAAGCTGCATAATGTATTTACGCAAGCACCGGAAATTGGGTGCTACGGGCAGGCGGAGGTGCTAGCAGTTGAGAGGCAGCTCGTCAGGTTGCAGCCGCTGTGCTAAACGCGAATAGACAAGTGTGATCCCTGCGGATGTGGATGCGGACTGTGGGTGCGGGCTGCTGCTTGGTTTATGCGCGCATATTTGATGGCATTGTGAATTTCTGTGTGGAATTACAGCTCTTAGCCATAGAGCGCTCCCTGCTCTGCTTGAGCATTCATTAATATGCGATACACTAGGGGAGCGGGAAGGGAGGGGGGGACTTAGGAGCAGCATAAAGCTGTGGGGAGGCGCTGTGAGCAGTTGTATCTGGCTTGGCTGTAGCGATACTTGGCGTATGATGGGCCAGAGGACAAGTAGCGATAAAAATGCAATCCCTTCGAATGCGCTCAGAGAGTTGCTTCAACAAGATTTGCCAATTAACGTCCGGACAATTAAAATTGACGTAAATACGGCTAAGACGATTATAGCTGATTTTACCTTGAAGCTTAACCTAATCAACTTATGATATTAAAACGAAAACAGATATATGCCAGTTACGGTTCCAGAGCACTGAAGTGCTTCTTAAAGCTTTTTTTAAATCTTGTCAGATTTACAGTTATTTAAATAGTTTGTGGAAGAGTAACACAAATGGAGGCTTAACTTACCCAAATGCCAATAAGTATGGATTTACCTATAAAGAATAATAAAAAATACAATAGGTAACAGAAAAAAAGCATTTAATGTTTATCTATTTATAAAATGGAATATCATCTTAAGCTAGAGATGGGAGCAGAGAGAGCGCAGGTTCGAGTCTCAGCTAGTGTATGGATGTGTGTCTTAGCTATAGGCCATAGGAGCAATCACTTAGTATTAATAAAAATATTGTTGTAAAAAGATGTATCCAATTAAAATAAAAAATACACAAATTGAACAAAATACATTTCATATACTTAAAACAAAAGTATTTGATTTATATTAATCTTTACAGAAAATTATGCAACGATTTTTACACAATCGTATTTAGCAAGGGCGTACTAAAAAATTTAATTTAAAACAAAAATATATAAATGGGCGCTTGTTAAATTCTCCTTCTTTAAATTTTGTGGATTTTTGAATAAAGCAGACAACACATGGAGAGCAACTGAGTATTAATGCAAATTGTCAAGGGTATGTACATGCAGAGCGCATATGCATATACCTAGACATATATACCTCTGCATGTGTTGGCACATATTTGCATAGGGCTGTATACTCTAATGTATGTTAATTTTCAGTAATTGCGGAGCATTTAGTTTTTAATACCAGACAGCAGAGGTAAGCAAAAGTTTTCAACCACCTATGCACACACCATGCCCTTTAATACATCCACCCCTTGCCAACAATCCTGAAATTTTTGCGGTTCTATGCAAATTAACTTAAAATGTCAACGCTGGAACACATTTTTTTTCGCCGACAAACGCAGTGTTCAGACCTAAGCTAATGTCAAATAGGGAAATTCCAGCCAAACAGCAAAATGGCTGAAAAATTGTGCATCAAAATAAGTTTAGGACTGGGTATATGTGTAGACTGAAAAGAAAGTCAAAAAAAAAGTGATGAAAAAATGGCAAACTGCAAACGTCAAGCAAACTTCTTTCTTTTTTTTAACTCTACATTGACTGAAACTCGGTGACAATGTTGTTAACTAGAGTGTGAAAACTATGATTGGCTGTCGAGAGATACACACAGAAGGGGTGTGGCTTTCAAGGAGGCAAGAGGGAACGTGCAACAGACAGCGGCGAGTGATGAGAAGCTGTCCTTGTCGCTGTCAGCATGAGAAGCGGGCGCCAATGCCAGCAAAGTGCTCTATGATTTATACCGTATTTGCAGTTACTGGGATGTCATCCTCTTTACTTTAGGTATGTGTACACGCACACACACACAGACAAATCTGTTGTTGCAACATGCTCACATACGCATTCAATTTGCCATCGCCTGAGTTAGGCACTGCGCCTATTGGCAGTGAAAAACGGTTCCAAAATGAAAGCAATTATTTTCAAATGCTGACTAATTAGTCGGGCAGCTCAACCAGAAAATCCATCTCTGGCTTCTCGTTTAGCTCACAATTTCAGTAGGTCAGAGCACAACTTTAATCAATACTCATTCATTTAGTTGATCCGCAGTTGGAATAATCTATTTTATACGTACAATATAATCTATTAAATACCTTAAGAAACATATAAAACCTATTTAATTATCCGCTTTAATATCTTAATATTGCTTTATAAAATCGTTTCTTTAAGGTGCCTGGCAAATTATATACTTAAGAAATTATGAAAAAATGGTCTTAAATATCCTTTTCTATTAATAAGATAATAATATAAATAATAATAACAATTATATATATATAGAGTATCATATAGTAATAAAATTTATTTTATTTCACATTTAGTAAACTTTATTATTATAAAACATGTATTTTTGGGAATTTTATAAAAAAAATTTTCCAAACAGTTTTGAGTATGGTATTTGGTATATGCGGTCTCATTTCCTTAAATAAATTATGCTGTCTTTTTTATTTAAAGGGCCAGATAGAGTGTGAAAACTTGACCAGAGAATAGTTTTTCGGAAAGCAGTTCAAAACTATTTTAGAAAAGAGAATACGTCTTTTACGTTTTTGTAAATGCTGCTTTATTACATTTGATTGATAGAATAGAAAGAACTAAGAGTTTTTTTCAAAGTGGAGTATATAGTAGTATAGAGAAAATTTGTTGTGGAGTCAGATGCGATAAGTCCGGGTACAGTTGCAGTTTAGTGTCCAAGTATTCGAATTCGGAGCTTCTCTTAGTTGCGTCCGGCTGCACAGTTGGTTACCGCACGGCGGTTGCGGCAGACCTTCAGCTCACGATCGAACCATTGGCCGGCGGGGCAGACCTGGTGCCTGGCGCGGTTGTTGCGGCAAACGTAGAAACGGCGGCAATGTCTGGTGTTTGTGAAGACTGTGCCGTCCTCGAGACCCTGGCAGTCACGCACGGAAACCAGGGCTTCAGCTGGGTTGTTTACGATAGCTTTATCAACCTTCTCAGGTTCATTGGCAGGTTTTTTTGTCGTGCAGGGTGTGGTTGTTGTCGTACAGGGTGGCGTTGTTGTAGTGCATGGAGCTACAGTCGTGGTGCAAGGGGGCCTTGTGGTCGTGCACGGCTCCTTAGTAGTTGTCTTACAGGCCGTTGTTGTTGTTATGCAAGGGGTTGTTGGTATATGCTTTATGGTTGTTGTCTTTGTCGTTGTTGTCTTTTCCGTTATTATTTTTGTCGTTGTTGAAGCAGTTGTAGCTGGTGCACAGGTAGTGGAGGTTGTGGTACAAGGTGATGTTGTGCTCGTTGTAGTCGTTGTTGTTGTCGTTGTTGTGGTCGTTGTTGTGGTCGTTGTTGTGGTCGTTGTTGTTGTCGTTGTTGTGGTCGTTGTTGTGGTCGTTGTTGTTGACGTAGTTGTCGTTGTGCAAGGTGTTGTTGTTGTGGTCGTTGTTGTAGTTGTTGTTGTTGACGTAGTTGTCGTTGTGCAAGGTGTTGTTGCTGTGGTCGTTGTTGTAGTTGTTGTTGTGGTCGTTGTTGTGGTCGTTGTTGTAGTCGTTGTTGTTGACGTAGTTGTCGTTGTGCAAGGTGTTGTTGTTGTGGTCGTTGTGGTTGTAGTTGTTGTTGTAGTTGTTGTTGTCGACGTAGTTGTCGTTGTGCAAGGTGTTGTTGTTGTGGTCGTTGTTGTCGACGTAGTTGTCGTTGTGCAAGGTGTTGTTGTTGTGGTCGTTGTAGTTGTTGTTGTGGTTGTGGTTGTTGTGGTCGTTGTAGTGGTTGTTGTGGTCGTTGTTGTAGTTGTTGTTGTCGACGTAGTTGTCGTTGTGCAAGGTGTTGTTGTTGTGGTCGTTGTGGTAGTTGTTGTTGTGGTCGTTGTTGTGGTTGTTGTTGTCGACGTAGTTGTCGTTGTGCAAGGTGTTGTTGTTGTGGTTGTAGTTGTCGTTGTGGTTGTTGTGGTCGTTGTAGTGGTTGTTGTGGTCGTTGTAGTGGTTGTTGTGGTCGTTGTTGTAGTTGTTGTTGTCGACGTAGTTGTCGTTGTGCAAGGTGTTGTTGTTGTGGTCGTTGTAGTGGTTGTTGTGGTTGTAGTTGTGGTCGTTGTTGTGGTCGACGTAGTTGTCGTTGTGCAAGGTGTTGTTGTTGTGGTCGTTGTAGTTGTTGTTGTGGTTGTAGTTGTCGTTGTGCAAGGTGTTGTAGTTGTGGTTGTTGTGGTCGTTGTAGTGGTCGTTGTTGTGGTCGTTGTTGTAGTTGTTGTTGTCGACGTAGTTGTCGTTGTGCAAGGTGTTGTTGTTGTGGTCGTTGTGGTAGTTGTTGTTGTGGTCGTTGTTGTGGTTGTTGTTGTCGACGTAGTTGTCGTTGTGCAAGGTGTTGTTGTTGTGGTTGTAGTTGTCGTTGTGGTTGTTGTGGTCGTTGTAGTGGTTGTTGTGGTCGTTGTAGTGGTTGTTGTGGTCGTTGTTGTAGTTGTTGTTGTCGACGTAGTTGTCGTTGTGCAAGGTGTTGTTGTTGTGGTCGTTGTTGTAGTTGTTGTTGTGGTCGTTGTTGTGGTCGTTGTTGTCGACGTAGTTGTCGTTGTGCAAGGTGTTGTTGTTGTGGTCGTTGTAGTTGTTGTTGTGGTTGTAGTTGTCGTTGTGCAAGGTGTTGTAGTTGTGGTTGTTGTGGTCGTTGTTGTGGTCGTTGTTGTGGTCGTTGTTGTAGTTGTTGTTGTCGACGTAGTTGTCGTTGTGCAAGGTGTTGTTGTTGTGGTAGTTGTTGTTGTGGTCGTTGTTGTGGTTGTTGTAGTCGTTGTTGTGGTCGTTGTTGTCGACGTAGTTGTCGTTGTGCAAGGTGTTGTAGTTGTGGTTGTTGTGGTCGTCGTTGTAGTTGTTGTTGTTGTTGTGGTCGTTGTTGTGGTTGTTGTTGTCGTTGTTGTGGTAGTTGTTGTCGACGTAGTTGTCGTTGTGCAAGGTGTTGTTGTTGTGGTCGTTGTTGTAGTTGTTGTTGTTGTTGTGGTCGTTGTTGTGGTTGTTGTAGTCGTTGTTGTGGTTGTCGTTGTGCAAGGTGTTGTTGTTGTTGTAGTTGTTGTTGTTGTGGTCGTTGTTGTGGTTGTTGTAGTCGTTGTTGTAGTCGTCGTTGTCGACGTAGTTGTCGTTGTGCAAGGTGTTGTTGTTGTGGTTGTTGTTGTCGTTGTTGACGATGTAGTTGTACAAGGTGTTGTAGAAGTTGTGGTCGTGCAGGGTGTCTCTGCTTTTGGTGCTGAGGGGGTTGTTTTTTCACATGGGGGTGTTGTTGTTAGCTTTGGCTTATCACATGGTGGCTTTGGCGTTGTTTCGCAAGGAGCTTTTCCACCTGTTGCCGCTAAATGGCCTTCGTGATCGTGCCCAGAGACTATAGCACTACTGCGATCTCCATTGTGGCACTCCACAAGGCTCGGCAGGTTGCAAATTTGGGTCCTGGGATCGAAGTAGAGGCCATGAGCACATTCCCTTCGCAGCGCACGGCCGCGCAGGCAAACATAGAAGCTGGAACAGCTAATGGGATCCGCAAAGGAGAGGCCATTAATGTGCTCCGTACAATCAGGCTTCTGTGCCTCTCCGCTTGCAGCCAGAGCAGAGAGGGCAATCACAAGTGTGAGCAGCAGCAAGTTGTCTGCAAAGGGCAACAGCAGCATTTAGTATAGACCCAAATACCTAACCCAGTCCACAACTTACAAACTCTCATTGTTGTAAATAGTCCTCTGCTTTACTTTCACCGTTGGGAGTATAAACTTTTCCACTGTACGACTAACTGCAGCAACTGCACCGCTTATATAGCGCCCAGTTCTCCACTTATCAACCACAATTACACCAAGAATTGCTCAGCCACTTGACTGAGACACGTCTCTTACACGTGTGTGTGTGTCGGAAGCACGATGTCGGAATCAAGAATACCATTAGCTTAATTAACCGTCCGACGTTGAAACATTAATATTCGCGAGCAGTATCAATAGACGGGAATGTGACGCAACGTCTTGTCTTCTAGGCATAAAACTCTCTATTGTAGGGTACACAGTCATTTCTTAATATCATTACAGAAATAGTCGATGTTTAGACAAATATATGTATATCAGACTATGAACTTTACAAGACCTAAGATCTGTTTGGAAAAAAGTTGGATAGGGACCAAAGAGCTCTTTGACGGCAGTTACAAATAATGTATCAAAAAGTTCCTCTCTTAACATAATTTAAGAACTAAAGAACTATTTGATAAACAAAGTGATCTTTTATTTATAATCAAATGGAAAAACATATTATATTAAAAAATATTAGAAAATCAAGTTAAACATAAGTGTAACCAAATGTCTTAGGAACCAAAACTATAATATCGAAGAACTTATTTCAAAATGGTAAAAGATTTTTAGTTTTGGCTGGTAAAAAATCTTCTAAAAAGCTCATAATAACAGACTGCAACTTTTTTCTTACCGCCACAAAATGGTGCATTCTGACTTCTACAAAAACCAGCTCCGACAACCACAAATTTTGCAAATGGCTCGGCACATAAAAAATTAATATTTTTTTACTCCAAGTTTTGGTATTTGCTGAAACGTTGGCTAAACCAAAAGTATATTTGTTACCAGGCGAAATGTGTGTTGGATGTGTGTCTGTGTGCTTGGTGTAAGAGGAAGATTTTTCAAACATTTGCGTTTTGCATTTGCCATCCCCAAACACTTGTGGTCCGACAAATGAATGAATATTTAACAAACTTGTGCACAATTCATGAGCACGGTTTGAATATTTTAGTTGACACATTGAGTTCTAACACACACACACACACACGAGTAGCAAAAGTCCTTGTTGTCCTGGGTAGCAGTTCATGTGGTTGCATTCGAGGCATGTGCTTTTGTCTGCTAGCATTTCAATCTACGTAGTAATAAAATACTGAGAATAGATTTGTGACAGCATACATTTTTTCGGAACTGAAAAGGGCAGACACTTAGGTAGCCAACACTCATACAATGCATAAATAATGGGGTTTCGAATTTAATACATAAACTTCTAACTTTATGATCTAATAAGCTAGAATAAATATCTAGCCAAATAGCCTTGGACAGTAATGAGCTACTCATATATGTATACTTACACAAATAAGTGTTGGCATCCATACTTTTAAAAAATACTGAATAACTCAAAAGCCTTAATATTTAATTTAAGGAAAATGTATTTTATTTACTTGTCATCACTTATGATTATCGCTTAAGACTTAATGCAAATATATTTATTTGCTTAAATTTCATCAATTATTTAGTTTATTTTCAAAGCAACATTCAAACTGAAAATTATCGCAAACATTCGAAGCACTTACTATTTTTCAGCATAAGTTGCGCTTCAAATTGTTGCAAGTCTTTAACACTAACTAAGGTTTGTTTGTAGTACCTAATATATTACTGTTTATTTATTTTGAATTTGTTGTTTATTTGGCTGCTTCGAGTATTTATTGTTAAGGAACGCTGTAGCTTACATATCCGATACACACACACATATTTACACAGTTCCTTTGAAGTAATCGTTAATTTTTATTAATATATTGTTTTAATTCTGTATTTATTATTGTTTACACATATGCAAAATTCTACTTTTTTAATTTTCTTTTAACTAATACGCACAATATTTTTATATTTACAAATTCATGCTGAGCCAGTTTTAAGTAGAAAGTTCTCATCTGTCGGAAGGCTTACGGGAAAGTTGTTTTCAAAGGGATGTACAAGGAAGTTAAGGGTGTAGCCAATATTTTTTTTCTAATATCTTTAGATTTTTCTCATAACTGTCATAATATTACCATTTACTATTTATTTATTATTTTATGCTCAATGTGGCATTTTGTTTTGGTTTTATTGTGCAGTTATTATTATACACTTTATTTTCAATTTTTTTCTTGCTTTAATTCAATTTTATTTGCATTTTTTTATTATTAACTTTTAAGTGTATATATTCTGTTCTTCGGCAGAAATTAACCTTCCGCTCTTTGGAAAATCTTACTTTATGTGCTATTTATTTTATTTCAACTCAGCGTAGCTTTATATATATGTATAGTATTATAATGATACAACCGTAACCCATAACGCATTTCACGCGATTCTGAATCTTAAAGATTTCGAAATTAAAGTTGGCTCTCAAAAATTTATTTTTTCAATATATACACAACTCACTAGAGGTTTTAATATAATTGATTTTTTATTACCCAAAGAGGTAGAGATTGAATTTGTTAAACGAAAGCAAAAAGATAAAATGTAAAATAAAAGTTAGTGGAAATATAGGTATATATTTATTGTTAAGATACACATACATATATTTAATATCTGTAAGCAGTATGTTTTGTTTATGGCAATACATGAGCTCGCTTTTGTATTTGTATTGTATCTACGGTAAGACGTACTCGTAGCAACATTTTGCAAATGTATCTCATTGGTTGGACTTAAATTTCTAGGCATATTTCAATTTCGCAGCGGACAGCATCCTTGTGTCCTTCTGCTCCTCCTGCTGCTGCTGCCGCTGGTGGTTTATTGCTCAAGTTTTATCCTCGGCCACTTTGGTACCACTAATTGAGCTGCTGACGTGGCCACAGCTGCCGCCGCAGTCGCCGCCGAGTCCGTGCCTGCGGGTTGTCGTCTGGGTCTGTGCGCAGAGCCTGCGGCTGACAGTTTCGCCTGCTGTTGTGGTGCATGTTGTCCTTGTTGGCGATTGTGGCTCCTGGAGCGCTGTTGCAGGGGGCTTGTTGACTTTGTTTTGACCATGATTGCTGCAGCTTGCCACATTTCTGGCGTACACAAATTTAATAATCCACAAAAGTGTCAAAATCGTTGATATATTCCGCCATGGCAAATAGCCCGGACAACCAATTAGCGTATTCCAGCTGACACTGCCGGATTTAATGGCCGATGCGGAGTATTCACCTGGCCATTGGAAAGAAACAGGTCACGTGTGCTTTGGCTTCTGGTTAACAATAGGTTGTTATTCTAATTTCAATTGCGATTGGCATTCGCACTCGTTTTGAAAATAAATACATAAACTGAAAGCTAGAAATCCAGTTTAGGCCCCCAAATACATTCAATTTGAGCTCAAATTTCGTGTAAAATAATTTGTGCAATTTACAAAAGTGTGTAAATGTGTCTGAATATGTATGTGTGCATAACGAGTCGATTGAATAAATAGAGGCATATTGTAATTAAATATTTCTATGGCGAAATTGAACAACAAGCAGTAAAGCCGAGAAGGACAAATAAAACAGCGCATAAATTAACTGATATTTGAGTATCGTTTGAGTATCGTTTGTATGAGGCAGAGGCGTGAAATGTGCACAAGATAAATATTTGAATTTAAATCAACAATGTCAAAATTAACTAGTTGTATAACATCAAATAAAGTGCACTAAAATAAAAGCTGGCTTAATTCAATTATGAAAGCAGTACAGTTTCAAATGCAACGAAATGATGTTTTAGCTTATGCTTAAATTAAAATTACAATTTAAGGTAAATTAAAAGTTAAGTAAAGTTGCTTAACTAAGCTATAAAAAAAGCTTTAAATAATCTTAAAAAAAGAACTGAATATTTATTTTTGAAAACGATTTAGTAGTAGGCAATTATGGTATTTGCATCCATAAGATATTAAATAATATAAATATATAGTCTAAATACCACAACCTACATACACTTGTATTCAATTAAAATTATGTACAAAATTCCAAATTTGCCTAATCATCAAAAATTTAAATTTTGCAGGCGCGCACTTCCAGAGTTCTGTTTTGCATTGAATTTTAGATTTTTCCCACTCGGTCAACAAATTGCTAAAATACCCCAGACATAATTTATGCAAAATAATTAAGCATAGCTAAATGTTTTGACCCCAAGGCCGGACATGTCGGATACATATCTCTATATATAAAACTGTTTGTTCTAACTGACTGACTGACTGACTGACTGGTGATCAACGCACAGCCCAAACCGTAAATGCTAGGAAGCTGAAATTTTCACTGTAGCTACCTTATGTGATGTAGGTGCACGTTAAGACGGGGTTTCGGGAAATTCCACCCGCAAGTGTGGAAAAATCGCGAAAAACGTTTGTATGTAACTTTTTTGTTTACCATCCGATCGGCCTCAAACTTATTTTCAAAGATCTTTGTTCCAATTCATGTGAGGGGTGTTTCACACTTTTCGGAAAATCCGTCCCTCCTTGGTGGAAATGGAGGTCAAAGATTTGGTGGGTGACGTTTGGCGCTCAAATTCATTTCCAGAGATCT